ATCAATATTTTTCTTTTCATATTTTTTTTTTAGAATGGTTATGATGAATTTGCCTTATTTTTCCATGATACCTATGGTGGCACAGTAATTGGAGTTTTATTGAGACCCTCTGCGCTAGAAATTAAGGATCTCAAGGTTTCAAATATAAGTGGCAGAAAATGTAATAATAATAATGAACTAGCTTTAAATATTTCGGCAATCATACAAGATTTTTATGTTCTTGGAAAGGGTCTTGTAGAAGCGATAGATGTTCGATCTAAAAAGTTTTCTTTAACTTGATTTCTTCTAGTATAAATAAATTGTAATATACATTTTAAAGTAAAACTTTGTTATTTATATTATTGTTTTATGATATAATTTTCTAGTATCAACTTTCTTATCTTGTATAAAAATAACTATTTTGCGTACAAAATAATTTAATTATGAAACCATAATTAAATATGAATATAGATAAAAACCAATTATATAAAATACATTTATTTCAATAAATATATATGTGTATATATATACATATAAAAATGATTATAAAGTATTTTATATTGTACTATGATATTGAAATATTTTAAGGTATAGTTTATATAAAAGAATTACTTCATCATTAAAGATCTGATTTCATTATTTAATTTCATAATAACTGTATCGTCAATTGTATAACTCCCTGTTTTTAAAAGGGAATCACGTTCTTCAACTAATGCTTGCAATCTTTCATCCTGTTCATCTGATCTTTTTAATATGCCTTTATTAGCATTTTGCGAAATTTTAGAGCCTACAGAATTTGGTGTAAATACTTGAGAATAAACGTCTTTTTCAATGAGATATGCTTTTGGCTTGATTACATCAATTTCTTTCTGAATTTCATTTAACAATATTTGATCATTTGTCAAGGCAGTAGAATCTGCAGATAATATTTCTTCTAGGCTAAAGAAAAAAAATAAGATATTTTTAGAACATATTAAATGTCACTCATGTTGTACCAATATACATATTGCACATACTCTAAGTTTTGTAATTCTTCTTTACTATTTTTAATTTGGACTTGTATAGCTTGTTGATGTTCCATTTTCATACGATGTATCTCACGAACTGCTTTTGCCCATTGTTCTTTGAAAAAAGATTTACTTTCCTGTGCATTTTGTAATTTTTTTTCAAGTGTCTTTAACTCTTGCAATAAATTTGCTGTTTGATCCTGCGTCAAAGAACCTTTTTGATAAGTTTCCAATTCTTCAGACTGTTTTGATACAAGCAATTGTAATTTTTCATTTTCAGTACTTAATTGTTCAGTTTGTGTTTCTAAAGCTGTTTTCCTCTTTTCAAGAGCATCAATCTAAAAATATTAAGATTGTATAATTTAATTCTTATTTATAAGGGCGCAAGTGTGTTTATAAACCTTTGTCATAAGTTCTTCTTGAACCATTTGAAATGACTCTTTAAGCTCGTGTAATTTTGTATCATATCTCCATTGCAAATCTTCATTTGCTTTAATTAACCTAGTTTCTTTTTCGAGGCTTTTCAATCTTCGTGTTCTTAAGTCTTCTGTAGCATTATTTAAACTATTTGCTAGCATTTTACATTGTTCAACGCTACACGCAAGTTTTGTTTCTAAATTTTCTCTATGTTTTTGCCATTCTTGACTTAGTAAATTTAAATGACGATCTTCCTTCCTTTTTAACTAAATTATAAAAATGAATGATAGATCATATATATCTAAAATAAAAGTACCTTCTTTTCTATAGTTAGATGTAATTTTACCTCAACTTTAAATATTTCCATCTGTCGTTCTTTCCAAGTCTCTAACTCATCCACTATTTTATATGCTAAACTATCATCTAAGATTGGTGGCCCTAAGTTTTCATCTAATTCCAAACCAAATATTTTGTAATGTTATATCCTCATGCATAGATGAAACAAATGAATAAAAAATCATGTACATTAAAGACTTACTAGGAATGGTTTTTTTAATCTTATAATATGGACCATAATCTTGTAAATTTAGCATAACATCCAAGTTGCCAATATTATTATGTTCTATATCATACAATGGTATATTGTATTGGTACTCCATCTAAAATACATTTATTTGCTGTATGTAAGCGTAAAATATAATTTCTAATATATTACCTTATTTTGACAAAATAATTCTTTTGTATTAATTTTACTTTCAGATATACAAGTCTTAGTACTTCCTTCCACTTTATATATACTAATTTTTGGTGGGAAATTTAGCAATAATTGTTTAATTTCATCTGTTGCTGATATAAATTGTAATTTGCACCCTATATTTTGTAATTTTACTTTTTCTCCTAATGAAGCTAGTATTTTTGGATGAAATGCAGAAGTAACTTCAGTTTTTGGATGATGGAACCTATATTAAAGAAAAGATATATATTTAAATAAAAAAATCCCCTTCATAGTATAAAATATTAATTTTAACTGTTACATTAGTAATTAGTAATTAGTACCGAATTTCCATATTTGGAATAATTAATTTTGAAGATATTGCCTTTATTGCTATTAACAAAATATTTAAATAATAACAGTGATAAGCCTCTACACTTTTAGAGGAATTATCAATATTAGACTGACACAGCAGTGTGTCAACTGAATGTGAATAAGTAGCCTTAACAAGTTGATCTCTTACAAGATCAGAATTTAAAGTGTGTTTATTTATATTATTGCATCCATTTGGGGGATTGAACATTTGAATTCCATATTTTCTAAAATCTCCAGCAGGATTTCTATGACAATCTATTTCACTATAATTCTGAAAATTACAATTAAATACAATGAATATTAGTTCTAAATGTTGCTACTTTACCATCTATTCCAAACAAAGCTTACTACTTGTCTTAAGATATTCTTTAATTCCACAGAATTAGGAGTGATGAAATCATTGATCATTACATTTGAAGTATCCATTGCTACACTTGTTTTACCTACATATTGCAATTTTAGCTGTAAATCGAGATACGAGTCTCTACATTCTACTTTATTATTTTCATTGAAATCTGCTTTACATAAACAACACCGCTGATTTAAAATACTACTATTATTTTCAGTGATTTTAAGAAATTCTTCAATATTATCAGTAGGGATTAATGGTTGCAAATTTACTTCCGATTGACCTAATATATGATCTTTATATTTTAAATATATAAACAGAAATGGCTTTAGTTGTAAATATTCTTTGAAAACTTTTAATGAACTTCTGATCCTTATAACAATTTTTTCATTAAGTGTCCAAATATCTCCATACTCTTTTTTACTTTGATTAAAATATACATCATTTTCTAATATCTTACACCAAAAATATAAATTGTTTTTCATATCTGTATAATATCTCATTGGTAGCAAAGAATCTACATATGCTGCAGATATAGCAGTGATATTCATTAAAAAGAATTCATGACAAATATCTAATGGACCTAATTGTATAAGACGTTCATCACGTAACAAAATTGGTGTTACTTTATTAAATTGAACATTTGCTTGCTGACATTCTTCCAAATTTTTTAACTGTAATTTCATACCATAATTTTTGTATTATCATTATTAAGCATTTATTTAAAAGTAACAAATGATTTACCTCTAATTGAGCATTTACTGATGTAGCTTCTAGATCGTGGATACTTAAAGCAAGAAGTAACTCAGGTTTATGTATTTTGAGTTCACTTTTTAATCCTAATAGTTTATGCCAATTAGCTTTTACATTATCAATACCACTTTTAGCAAAAACTTGGGCAGATCTTAAACTAAGTAGAAGATACCCTAATTTTTCTTTGATATTATTACTTTTAACAGCAAAGCATTCTATTTTTAATGGAACTTGTCCTGACCTCATCCTATAAAGTTAAAAATTGTTTTAATAACAAACATTACAAAGTATTTTGTAATAAACATCATATATGATACATACTTTCGTAGTCTGTTTTTATCTACTTCCCAAACTAAATCATGATCATATTCAGGATTTGAATTTGGCTCTATTATATCAGTTTCCAAGGAATGTCCATTTAGAGTTGCAACAATTAATGTAGGTAGCAGAATTTGTTCAAAACCTTTACCTAAGATTATTAACATTAAACGTTAAGTTCTTCTAACTTTTATTAAGCAACATGCTTAGGTCATATCATGGAATTATTGAAATTAAAACAAAGTTGAAATTCAGAGAGAAATACATTTATTAATATTAAAAAAGCAGATATATAATGCGAAATTATAGAATTTTATCCACTACAAGTCATTCTTAAGTAAATATATTAAACAATTAGTTTTTCTACTATATTTGTATATTATTTTATGTTACATTATTTCGCACAAGAAAGATTTTATAAATAAAAGGTTAACAAGTAATCCTTGTTGATTTACCTTCTTTTATATTCAGTACAACTCGAACATCAGAATTTGCTAATTCCTCCATTGCATCATAATATAATAAATAAAAATAATTAGTATAAAGTGAGCAAATATTTAATGAAAATTAATGGAATCCGTAAAATTCGAATTGGTTACTATGGATACGTAGGTATTTAATGGCATAACATTTTATTTATCATGTCAATGTTTCACGGACGGCTTATAAATTACACAGGACTATATGTATTATTTACACAATTAATAACATTGAAATCTTCATAAAATTAGATTCGCTAAAACTCTCTTAAATTTATTTGAAAATTCAAATAAACGCCATATGAGTATCACTGAATATGAATATAGATAAATAATTAGTCGCCCAAATTGGTCTGGTAACAAAATTGAACACCGACTAAATATTAATTTTTAATTTGTTTTATCAAAATCATACAGAAAAATACATAACATAGAAAAATTAGTCATAATCGTGAAAGAGTTGCAAGATGTAAAGAAAAAGCTAAAAAATTATCGACGTATAAGAATGGAGATAGTTTGGAAAAGAGGGCGTCGGCGTCGATACTGTTGGGAACGCGGCGTTATTTCGTTTCAAGTTGGCAACACTGTCAGCCTCGTAACAAATCTCACCTATGTCGAGTCGAGCGCGAGAGACAGGAGCGTAAGCTTGTCCGCGATCGTTTGTCCGCGTTCGACAGGTCTTTCAAATAGCGTGCGTGTAATCGGTGGACGGTAGAGCGTAGGGATATAAATTGTATTCGTATAACCAGTTTCGAAATAAAAGTTTGTTGGAAGGCCTGGGGAGCGAAAGGACTGCGGAGGGGACTGCAGTTAATACGGGGCTTGTGTGTGGGCATATAATAGCCGATCGGGCATACTGGTGACACGGCTGCGGATTTTTCCTTCGGCAAGAAGGAAGGAACATACGAAGCTCGCAAAGTGCATGTGCTAGTGTGCGTGTCACTATAAAAGAGTTCAGAGCCGCTTCGGCGGCGCTCCCAAATCTAACTGCAGAATTGAGTCTGTGGTGGTGAGGCCGCGGTACTATCGGGCCACGATTGAGTACGATCACGATCGCACGCGGCAGGGCCGTTTGTAATGGAGGAGGTTTCCGAGTGTATTCCCGTGCGACAGAACAGTCACGGCGATGCACGCCGTATTGACTGAGACGCGATATTTATCGTTGACTATTCCCCCCGGCCGGCCGGGCAAGAGAGGCAGGTCGAAATTGGTATGGAATCGTCCAGGGTCCTCGACACGACGAACACTCGCTCCCGTCTGTGATAACCACTAGCCGCTTAGAAAGAGATAGAAGAAGGGAGAAAAAGGAAAGAAAGAGAGATAGAAAGCTGTTGTGTATTTTGCGCGTGTGTGTTCTCCTCGTCTGCCCTCTTCATTACGTCTTTAAGTGTAAACATTTCTCGAAATCCGTTTCGAGGTTAGGATAGCATGGGGATTGATCCCCTGAAGGCATCGACCGACGAACCGTGACACCTGCGACTCGCGTCGTGTACGCGGTGTGTGCTTTTGTGTGTGCGTGCGTGTGTGTATTCCTCCTTAGGAAACCGCTGGGAGTTATTATTTTCCATCGGCGGCCATCCAACGGGACGACCAAAGAAGAAAATATGTCAAGAATGGGGATCGATCCCCGACGATTAAACGCCGTGCATCGTTTATATAATTAATTCGACTAATACAAGACTAACATCGGCAACGTTTTTTTTTTTACCGTACAATCGACCTTTTCTGTCACGTTTAAACAGACTGTCGCAGATTACTCTGCCACGACAGAGGACACTCGCACCATGCAGAAAAGAGACGGTAGAGACACACAGCTACAGCTCGCGCGTAGCTCTGAACGCGAACAGGAAACGACCAAGAGGATCTCTCGTGGTAGCGGTAATGCTACCAGATTCAACGCGTATTCCTCAAGGTATAGTGTCACCTCCTCCTCTAATGTACTCATGGTCGGTCCCAACTTCCGTGTCGGCAAGAAAATTGGATCTGGCAACTTTGGAGAACTTCGACTCGGTGAGTTTGATTGTCTTTTCCTTTCTTCTTTTTTTATATTCTTTATTATTACATATCTTTCTATATGTATTTTTTTTCGTTTATTTTTCGATGTACGTTCTACATATATGATCATAAATAATACACGTCATGTTAAAACGTTCGTCTCCGTCAATGATAATATTCGCGCGTGAAAGTGACTTTTTCAATGGTATCGAACAAAATGGAGCCACGTAAAAGAACACCCCGTGTGCTGTCGTTAGTAAGCAAGAAAGAAATCCTTCCTAACCTTTCCGGAGCGGTTCGCGTTACGGGAATGAACGGAACCTTGAAGCAACATTTCATTCCGATCGATCTTAATGGAATTCGTTTCAGCTGATCTCGCTTCGACTCGCCCGCGAGATCTTTCATCCTGTTCGGTGCACTATCGCCGCGTATTCTTTCTATCTTTTCGATATTTACGTTCTCGAAAAATCGCGTACACCACGAGTGCAAAGCCATCGTTTAAATTAATACTAGAATTATTTTGCAGCGGTTAAACTGTCCAATTTGCAATTTTTCACACAAGTTTTATAAAGTTACAGAGGTACATTTTTCAGGACTTCTTAATGATCATTTTTTTTAAAAAATATATAGACATAGATTTGCTTTCTTCCCTTATTACGTCATTTTCCGTGTATCTTCCATTTTGTTTACTTCAGTAACACATTCAGAGTCTCTAACGTAATAATATGTTTTTTTATAACTAAAGTATGACCAAGGGCCTTTTGCTCGATAGATTTTTCTTTTGTAATAGAATATCTTGTAATTTATAAAATTTTTTTCTAAAATTCCATTCGCTTTATTGTCAAATGTATTATCATCAAGCAAAACAATTTATTAATTTATCAATACAATATCAAATCTTATAACTCGTGATTTATAAAATTTTGTTAATAATGTAATAATTTAATTGTACAAGAATGTCCAGGTTAGACACTTACCGATAATTTCAACGAAAACACAAATATTCCCGCTTGTGTGAATTACAAATAACACATAATACGAAATATGACGTTCGAAAGCAAATTCACCAAATTTTTGTCTCAATCGCGCAGACTTGCCATCTTCCATACAATACTTTATTTTCGTAAAATTATCGCGAACGCGTTAACAACAATGACAATGTCGACTTGCATCGGTATCGTCCGAAGTTCAGGTCTTACTGCGTGACGTAATTCTCCGACGATAAATTTATATCTTTTATCTATGCTAAAAGAGAGTGTGCATCGAATATAAAGATGTTTATGTCCGCCATGGCCTCCCTGACGATTTTATTACGTGCTCGGCTCGCACGTTCCGCGAAACGGTCGAACTTTAACATACCAATTAACGCACCATGCGCATATGCATTTTCGCACGCTTTTAACTATAAAAAAATATCGAGTATTATCGATGGTGCGAAGTTAAACAATCGACTTGTCGATTTGTTTGCTATTCCGCCACGTGACTCGGGTTAAACGAGCTCCTTCGATAAACATTGAATTTTACCAGGTACAAATGTTTTATGTATAACCTCGCGACGAGCCAACTGTGCGTCGCGATGCTTGCAACTCCAACAACTTGTATAAACTTTTTGCTCATTGTCTTTCGTTTCGCACGCATTCATGATAGCTACCGCTAGTGATGGACTGAAATACGTCGCAAGCAGGTACGAAAATTTACCCAATTGAATTAAATCGGTCGGTCGAATCAAATTCGTAGTTTCTATAAATATCTTGAAACAAAGAAAGAAGAGGCACTTTCAAGTAAATTAGGACCTAAATCTTGAATTTTCTATCAGTACTTTGGGAAATGAGAAGGAAATGTACCTATGCAGTTATGTGTATACAGGTCAAATAGGTTCGAGCGTTTTACTACGAATCCCCTCTTCTCCGTTAGAATCCTTTTTCACGGCTATGGGTTTTAATTATCCAGTGACGAACGCAAACGTAAAAATAGAATTTCTAGGAATTCTGTTCTATCTGATCTTTTAAAATTTGCTAGAAGAATTCAACGGAATGCCAATACCTTTCTGACTCATGCGATTCGATTGCAATTTCTAAGGCGTTCGACTCGTTCAAATGTCGAAGTACGTACATAGTTCGAAGTAGATTTTCCAAACTTGCGACTGCTTGTTCTGCAATTTGAAACCCACTTGTGAAGATCAAATACACATTTGGCAAATGATATAGCGAACGAATTTTGAGAATTAGATTTGATTCGGATCTCACGTGAATAATTATATACAAAGAGGCAGTCCACGTTGATATTATTCTACATATCGTGAATGTTTATGTAAATCTATATTTGTACGGATACAATTAAAACGTTGAATGCCACGCCAGTTTTACAAGATTTGGCCGTGGCGCCACGATGAATTTTTTATTATGCGATACATATAATGTTGAAATATTACCTATAAGAGATATGTTACGGTGTATAATCATCATTAATGAATTTATTTAACTGAGGTGACCCTCACGGCGCTGTAGTGCAATTTCGTTCGATTCACTTATTTTTTGCGATTATCAATTATTTCATGGTGTTTCTTCGCGTTCTGGAACCTACCATACACCATAATCCATCCCTCGATCATACTTATTCGGATCCGCAATAATCCTAAGGAACTGTTACAAAATTTAGTAACTTTTATTTTACTGTCAAGGCCCTTAACTGCCATTAAACATCTTTTAGGTCAAAACGTTCCTTAGGGTTGTCGTTCATTAAGATAAGACACGGAAAAAGCGGATTTTTCCCATGTTCGACAGCCATTGGTGAAGGACGCACATAATGGATCTATATTGCATGTATAAATAATATTATTCTTATATGTTTTATACTGCATTAATTTCGTCTCACCATTGTAGTAACGATGGCAATAATAACAAATTTATAACTATTGACATTTGTTCAAATTATGTATTTCTACTAATCTTGATGCGCTGGTCATAGGTGACCCCCATGGCATTCAACGTGTTAAAGAAACGGAACTTGGGTAGACATTTGTTTCATCTACTAAATATTGCATCAGTTATAAAGTCACAAAATGATAGATCTTTTTTTAGAACATGTTATGTATATGAGTGGCGAGTTAGTTTTGAATTGGAAAGAGGATTGTGTTTAAAAAGTGGAAGGAATTGAGTGTTCCACAAATTCTACGGGCAAATCGAATATCCTTTGCTCTAATGGAAACACACGTGGCCCTGGTTGGCACAAAGCTTCGTGTTTTCAAAGAGAACGAATTAGGTAAACCTCTAAGCTACTAACCTGAGAGATTAGGAATATTGAACTTCGAGGATCTTTCAAACCCAATAGGATCGCACGAACAATAATTAAAATCGTGATTCATCATGCGAAAATGCACTCTTCTTTGCTTCTTTGCTATCTATCAATTCTGATTAGAGTTTCAGATCGATAAGAACGTTGTGCACTTTCTATTTTTCTTACATGTACTTTATGAACTATCGTAATATATACGACAGTTCACAAAAGTATTCGAACACTTGTAGAAATCTTTTATGATATACGTACAAATTATTATATGTATCGTACAAAACATTTTGAAATTTCATTAGCACTCTTACGAGACCCGACTATCATGATTATATTGGTAAAGTTGGAAACAAATCTGGGAATGTAATATAAGAATTGCAAGATATTTGGCGTAAGAAAAATATTTAAACAGTCAATTATCTAGTATATTAATAAACATCGATAATCAGTGAGGTCATCTTTCATACTTATTATATGTTTAAGATACTAATGTAAGTTTTTGCTAAACATATACATATACATATACATATATATATATATATAAAAATGTTGTATGCGATGCGTGCAAAGTTTATGGGAAATGTTCAAATATTTTCACGAGTTGCGGTAGATATAAATGTAATTTAGATAAATAGATCTACTTACTGATTGTGTCTCGATAGGAATATCCGGTCGTTCTTCAATGGGATTTGTAAAAGATGTGACTTACGCCTATAAAACTTAGACGATATTAACTGTGTAAATATTGCAAAAGGAATAGGGTGTGTGTCATCAAAGTATACGCTTCTCGAAACTTCAAAGGGGATATTACGTGTTCAGGGAACAGAGACAAAAGGGCGTCTTCCGTGACTCTTTTCCTGTTGTCTTTCGGAAATCACTAAGCGCTTCGACAAATAACCGTCTCCTCTTGCGTTGCATTAGGACGTGTTTACGCATTATCAGCTGAATTATTGCTCAGCTGGAAGTGGTCCCTCGCGCTGGCCTTATCGCCGTATCGTGCACAGTTATTCGATGTATATGGAATTTACAATTCCATCGTATCGTTTAAGTTTCGTGCGCTGTTTCGATATCTCTCAAAGATTCCAATATGAAATTTCAGTTTACGAGTCGTTTTTATAATTAAAGGGATTGCCGCGATCAGGCGGTGGCTCCAATTTCTAGTAATTCGAGTAAAGCACAATAGAAAGCAATTCGAAATCAATCAAAGTCAAATCACCTTTTGCGACGTGCTATAAATTCATAGTTCACTTTTGAATACGAAGGCCATAGGTGAAGAACTTGATAAGTCACGTTTCTCGTTCTCTATGCAAGAGCAATTTAAGGATTCGATATACGTTGTCGATCAATTTCACGTTAAACTTGTCTTTTCACTCGATTTGGGAATTAAATTCTTGTCGTTTATAAAATATTTAATAACGTTACTTATACATATCTGTATATAGACTAACGCTAAATAAGTTAAACTAACATAACTAACTAAAGTAATATTATTCGTTTGTTACGAAACATCGTAGATTTCTCGTGACAAGGACTCGAACTACGAATCTCCAACGTTAGAAGTTAGTAGGTGATTTTCAGGAATTGTTTTGCTCGTGTTCTTACGAGAATAGAAGAGGGAAAGAAAGGAAAAATAGAGCGCGCGTTGTAAGGTTTCGTTACAAAGTATGATTCAAGCATACCGTGTAATCGCGTGAAATGGTCGAAGCCTGCATTCGAGAACCGCTGAC